CCTGTCGACTTCTGCGCCCGTCTCTTGCTCTGGTGCATGCGGCTCTAGTCCACTGGTCATCTTCTGCCCCAGGTCCACGGGGACTGGAGGCCCTGATTTCCTCTTAGCGCTGATGTTTATCTAGAATCCATGTGGTTCCCCCACCCCCACATGGTGTGAAGTGAGTGTCTGATTTCATTGTTTTTGTCTGTGGGTATCCAGTTGTCTCCAATCACTTGTTCAAAAATGACCCTTTCCTCATTGCACTGCCTTTGGACCCGTGTGGAAAGTCAGTTGACCGTAGATGTCAGGACTTTATCTGTGGTTTCACTGGTGTGGATGTCTTTATGCCCGCACCACACTGTTTTGATGATAGTAGGTTCAACATACATTTTGCAACCGGGATGTGAAAGTCCTCCAACTTGTTCTTTTTCAATCTTGTTTGGATGATCTAGATGTGTGGCCCTTCTCTCTGGATTTTAGCCTGTCCATTCCCGCAGAAAGGCCGCTGGGCGTCAGAGGGGTGCAGGCAGGTCAGTGTCAGTTTGGGAGGGGCTGCCATCTCAGCAGCATTGTATACATGGGCCCACGGACATGGGATGCGTCTCCACTGATTTATACTGCAGCTGGGTCTGATTCCGCTCCCAGGAGAGTGACAGCCCCAGAATGCCCCGCGCAGTTCCAGCCGCCGTTACGGGTCGTTACGGGTCTCCGCGTCGGAATCCACTTGATGGGCAGTGAGTTGGGTTTATTTTGGAGGGGGGTTAGTTTATTTCATGATCACTTTGTGTGGTTTTCAATATAGAGGCCACGTACTGGTTCTGTTAAAGTTATTCCTCAGTTCTTTATTCTTCTGATGTTCTAGTGAATCTAATGATTTTCTTAAATTTTGGAATGAGATTACTAGTATCTAAAAATGCGATTAATTTCTCTTCTTTTCTCTGTTTTCCACTTAATTTCCCCCCTCCGATCACTAGTATTTGCTCCCATTTGCATGCTGTGGATTTTTCCCTTTGCTTTTACTTCAGGTGGGAACTTTGGCTGTTGCTCTTGGGAGCGTTTCTAAGGCGAGCATTTATAACGGACCCCTCTGAGCATGACCACAAAGAAAATCCAGAGCTTTCTTTTTCATCCCATTTGAGATGTTTTCTAGCTGACTTTGTGGTTTCTTCTTTGTCTCATAGGTTATTTGGAAAGTATGTTCTTTAATTTGCAAACATTTGTGAGCCTCCCATATTTCCTTCTGTTGTTGATTTCTTATTCAATTCCATTTTGATTGCAGAAAATATTTTGCCTGGACTTAGCCCTTTTGTGTTTATTGGGACTTCTTTGAGGGCTAGCATCTGGTCTATCCTGGGGAATGCTACATCTTGCGCTTACAAATGATGGGCATTCTGTTCTTGTTGGGTAGAATGCCCCATCGATGTCAGTTAAAAGTTGGTTGGTATTGTCGTTCCAGTCTCCTGTATCTTTTAAAAAAAATCATTTTATTGGGGGCTTGTACAGCTCTTCTCACAATCCATCCATCCAGCCATCCATTGTGTCAGGCACATTTGTACATTTGTTGCCATCATCATTCTCAAAACATTTGCTTTCTACTTGAGCCCTTGGTATCAG